CGGCTGAACCCAAATGAGTTTCCAAAGCAGGGGCATGATCCCCACCATGCTGGCTTGGAAATAGAATTAATAAAGAAAAGGTCCATTTTATGTTATTTTCTTTCAGTTTATTGTCCATGATGATAAAAACATAAGGTGGAGCAGTAGAAGCTGCAGTAGGAGCTCCATCAGATTTGGTGCTTAAAATGGTTCTCATTTAAAACTAAAATTATTTTTATTTATTTTTTACTTTTCATAATTACAACTGCACATTGTTCCCCATAACCTTATCTATCAAGTCACAGATTATGAACTGGTTCTTTCATTGCCAAGCTATTATTTAGATGGAAAAATCATCAGCAGTTAGCTAAGCAGAGCCAGCTAACCAGAGCTATACCTTGCACTACAAGGGAAAATACTAAAACTAAACTTCTCTGCCAAGAAGGCTCAGAGCCAAGACTGCTCATTAAAACCTAGGAACATCTGTCTACTTATGACTGTCTAAGATCTCAGTACAGCTTTTTTTTTCCTCTCTGCCTTTGACCTTCACTGGGATTCCCAACAGAGGTCTGCGCTTGAGTCTAGCCATAACTATTAACAGGTTCCCACTGAGGAGGGATTAAATGTTTCCATGATAACCTTGACCTTCTTTCTTCTAATTCACCTTGCATTTCCCTGAGGTGGCTAAACAGCACTGACTAATCACAAAAATAAAGGTAAAAGAAAAAAGAAATCCTTATAAGAACATATAGCTCTGTCCCAGGAGGCAATTTCCATAGCCCAATTGTTCTTGCCATTCGATATTTGTCATCTTTCACAATATAAAAATAATACATAACAGAGATAAAAGAAGACATTCTGAATATTCAGATGAAAGCTGAAAATAGATTTATATCACAATTTCAGTGTTATCTTTAGTGAATGGGCATTTTGGTATGCTCAGTAACACCATTTGCAGCTTCATTGTGTATTGCTGGTGATGAAATATGGAGCAAAACCCACCCACACTCGGTAGAGATATCTGTGGTAAAGAGTGATGAGAGAACCATTTAGTGCTTTTCAGCTTTCAGGCATTTCAGTTTCTTTCAGTGTAGCGTGCTGGTGCCGATGCCATTGCACTGTTATTTTTGTTATTATTATCTGTGTAGTACTAACCAGTTCTGAAAAGTTCACAGTTCTCTGGCATTGTGTAGTGGTCATGCATATGGTACAAAACAGTTCTTCCATGTAACCTTAAAGCTTATGTACAATTTTATGATCTAGAAAAATTAGGATGTCAAGGGAAAAGTTGTCCCTCTTAATTTTGGGAGGAGCTGCCTGCAGTTCTGGCACAAGAAATCTGTACCAAGCACGAAGGATCCCATTAAGAAAATGCCACTATCCACCTTGGTTGGTCATAGCAAATGTCCATTCCCTATACTGGACTATCACTGGCCATTCATTAGTGGGGACCTTGTGAGCTCTAGCTCATTTTAAGTCTCTTGGGATCTCTTGGGTTTAAACGTGCAGCATTAATACATATGGCTATTCCCTCAGTGCACTGCCTGTCTCTTCACCATTGTTCTGGAGAAACTGGAGTCCTTTTCATAAACACTAATTAATAATTCTTCCCACCTTCCTTCCCATCCACTCCCTGTGACCTGTTGTTTCTGCTGCATTTTTCTGAAATTGCTATTTTTGTAAGATTCATTATGCTCACCTAATCCTCCTGCATTTAGAAAGACTAATTAATCAAAACTAATTAAATGCTGCTTTCCTATTTGGCTGATGTAGAAGACTAGTCCAGTGACATCAGCCTGGCCTATAGGGAAGGATGCAGCAAGAAGTGTTTCAGACACTGCCTTGCCACAGTCATACCTTCACTTGGGCACATCTTAAACTGAACTTTAAAGTTGTGTGCACCGAGCATTGACTCAGCTGACTCCATCCTTCCACTCCCTGAAGCCAGAGGTACACCTCATGCACTTACAAAACGTGGTTGGGGTGCCTCTGGCAATCTGTGACCTGAGGCACTGTGCACAGCTGGATGGATAATCTTTTCATCTGCACTCTAGTAGTTACTAAAGCCCCAGGTGAGGGATCCAGGGAGAGGCCACAGATTGGTGTCACAGATGGGCTGGGGAGGTGGGGAGCAGAGCTGTGTTTTACAGAGGTCCTTATAGCAAACTCCACATCTTCTCGTGTCTGTCCGCTTCGACCTCATACAAGGTGCTGAAGAAGAGACTTGCATTGCTGATGACTAGTCTT